CCAGACCCCTTATATAGCTTCTTGGATGCTTTGCTTTCATAGTTCCTTGATAATGTGAGTAGTCACGAAAGCGCTTGGAATTTCTCTATTCTTTCAGAGTGGTTGTTTTGCATATTCTGAAATCACCTGTTTACTGTGATCTTATTGCATATATATATATATATATATATATATATATATAATATATATATATATATATATATATATATATATATATATATATATATATATATATATATATATAAGTCTCCTTACTCAAATATTACTTCCCACAACCCAAATATGTATAACTTTCCTTCACCCAAATGTAATATTCCTCTCCCAATATAATATTAAAACAAACAATTGTCAGTACCATCTCTTGGTGTTATAACTATAATAGTTGCCATGGTAACTTCCTGTGGGCCTGTCTGAGGGGATTTATGGAAGGGGGGGTCACTATTTTTTTTCCCAATCCCTCCCTCTCTCCGTTTTTTCCTTTTATCTCCTGTTTATTAAGCTTAGCGCATTCTCATCTGCTGATTTGCTTGTTGCTATCCTTCCTCACTCTGTTATTATTATTATTATTACTATTATTATTATTATTATTATTATTATTATTATTATTATTATTATTATTATTATTATTATTATTATTTTATTTTATTTTTATTTTTATTATTACTACTACAACTACTACTACTTAACAATGCATTTAATATTGCATTTAAAAATAGCTTTTCTTGTTTTTATGTTGCTTCTGTTTCGTTATCAGAGAAGGAATCAATCGTCTTTATTCATCCTTGTCTCTTCACCGTCTCCCGTCCACCTTAAAATTCCACTTTTCTTCCAAAGAGATCAATTATCCTTTTTTTTTTTTTTTTAAAACCCACACCTTTTTGTATTGTCCTTCATCTCTGGCTATGGCTCTTTACCTCCCATGTTCCATGACTTGCATTTCAAGCGGCCTTTATGCACGAGGCTCCAATAATGGTTACAGCTGCCGGATGCAGGGGTGAGGCACAAGGGGAAGAGAGGAAAAGAGGGGAGAGAGAGAGAGAAAGGGGCGTCCCCTTTTTTCCCCCTCCCCCCTCTTTGCAGTTGAAATGGGCCCCGTCGCAATATATAATGCTTTGAGCAGATGGGAGGCAACAAGCACACCACGAGGACCGTATCCCAGGGTAAGACACCTATTTACTCCATTACTAATTTGCTATATAAGTGCTTTGTATTTAATATAATTTGCTATATAAGTGTTATTATTATTATATTATTATTATTATTATTATTATTATTATTATTATTATTATTATTATTATTATTATTATTATTATTATCGTCATTGTCATCAAAATTAGGTACATTAAAATCCAATCATTCAGGTACCCTGATTTTCACATTTTATAAGATAAATGCGAGAGTTAAAGAACTATTTTTAAGCATATATTTAGTGTGCCACCTCACACAAAAAATAAAATGATGAATGCTGTCTTTACAATTAGTGTACGCATTAGTGATGTTCAGGATAATTACCTGTTTGAAATAACGTATTTGTAGCTACTGGACCAGTCCTATACTTGTGGTGTTCTGTATATCATAAAATTTAAACGTAGTTCACTTTTAAGAAGTGTGTGTATCATTTGCTTGTGCTGGGTCATCCTGGGTTCAATCTCAACAAAAAAATATAACATCTGTTGGATAATAATAATAATAAATAATAATAATAATAATAATAATAATAATAATAATATTATTATATTATATTATTATTATTAGTAGTAGTAGTAGTAGTAGTAGTATTAGTATTAGTAGTAGTAGTAGTAGTAGTAGTAGTAGTGGTAGTAGTAGTAGTAGTAGTAGTAGTAGTGGTAGTAGTAGTAGTATCAATAATACCACAAACATCGCAGAAATGTCAAACGGCACTGTATTTAAGCAAATGTTTAACCTGACTAAAGCATATTAATTATTTTCTTGCTTGTATACCTATTTACCTACATGACTATTTGCCTTGTTAGTTAACCTATTTACTTAATTAGTTACTCACGTAACCCCTCTAGGTAGGTTCTAGATGCTGGTAAAGGACCTTGACCTAAGGAATTGGATGATTAATTAGACTAAAAGTCTATTAACTACATGAAGGTCATTAAAACGGGCTGTTAGTACACAATATTCCAGCCTAGGGAGAAGGAGTGACTTGAAGAATATCTTCATTGGCTTGGCATCTCCTGTTTTGAAAGTTCTGGTTACCCAACCTTCAATTTTTCTTGCAGTTGTGCTCCTTGAACGTGAGAGCTCCTGACATAATCACTCCTAAGTCTCTCACATTTGAATTGCGATGCTCTCTTGAGTGATTTGAGTTTGTCATGTATTCTGATCTTTTTTATGATTTCCTTCATTCTATGTCTATATCTCTGTCTGTGGCAGATATGATAATAAGAAAGACAAGACAGGTGGGGTGAGTACTGTGTCTTGCAGAAAAGGACCTTTCACTGTGGCAGCCTCTAATTCACTTTGTTTACGTTTTATTTTTCATTTTTATTAGGAAGATAAATAGCCATCTGCCCGCTTAGCCAGTTATTTCTTTTGCACTTTTGTTCGCTCTTGTCAAAGGCTAGTGGAAAGTCAGTGTATACTGCTTTGTATTTTGCTTGTCTTCCAACGTATCCAAGACATGTAATGATCCAGTAATTATGAGAGGCAGGAACGACCTGTTGTGAGCCTATGTTGACCTGAGTTGTACATTTGCTGCGATTCCATATGGCTGGTACTCTTGCTTCTTAAAACCCTGTCAAAAGTCTTCACAGTGTGGAATATTAGTGATATCGGTCTATGGTTTTTGTAATTGCTCTACTGGCACTTTTGTGGAATGGGGCACATGGTAAGGGTTTCTTGCAAATTCTTAACGAATATAGAGTTTCATGAGTCAGGGCACGCAGTCAATGGCTTCCCTAAATATTAGATGTCGTTTGTGTCCTGGATTTGTATATGAGAAAAAGTAGACTGGATTTCTTTTAATTTCACTTATGGCTTTTAGCTCAATCTGTCTCTCCTGTGTGATGAATGGTTTGAAAAACCGACAAGTTGAAGATTGAGACACTTATGCAGCATATGGAAATCTTTATTCAGGAAACGTTTCGCCACACAGTGGCTTCATCAGTCCAATACAAAGAGGAAGGCGTAAGGAGAGGAGGAGAATGAGGTAATCAGTCCCTCAACCTGGAGTCGATGTGTTCAGTCCATCAATCTTGTAGAATGTACAGCATAGGGCCGTAGACGTGGCTTATATACTGTAGTGAGGTGACGTGAAGCAGATGGAGGCGGGGTCATAGTGGTACCATCCACTAGTCGAAGTAGGTCTTCGTCCAAAGGTTGAACAAGTGTTGAAGAATTCATTTGTAACAAGATCCCATGATGCTGCAGTGTCCGACAGTTGTGATGAATTCTTCAACACTTGTTCAACCTTTGGACGAAGACCTACTTCGACTAGTGGATGGTACCACTATGACCCCGCCTCCATCTGCTTCACGTCACCTCACTACAGTATATAAGCCACGTCTACGGCCCTATGCTGTACATTCTACAAGATTGATGGACTGAACACATCGACTCCAGGTTGAGGGACTGATTACCTCATTCTCCTCCTCTCCTTACGCCTTCCTCTTTGTATTGGACTGATGAAGCCACTGTGTGGCGAAACGTTTCCTGAATAAAGATTTCCATATGCTGCATAAGTGTCTCAATCTTCAACCTGTCTCTCCTGGCCTCTGTATGACGCATTCAATTTGAACTCAACGTTTTCAAGTGTTACTTGTTTCTGCAGAAAGTCTCTTGCATTTGAGCTCTGAGCTCTGTTATTCTTCGTCTATGCCTATAAAGCACACGGTTCTCTCTTTCCAATCCACACCTCCTTTGTAATGGTATACATCTGGAGCTTACTTTTAGTGCCATTGAACTCATACTCTCGAAACACTGTTTTAGGTCTTTGTTTACCACATTGTCTTTCCAGTATATTTCAGTGTGATCGCAATTTATTACCTTCCTGTTCAATAACATGGAGGCAAAGTTACGGTACGTTATTTTAGGTTGGGTGTTACCATTAGATACTTGTGGCATGGTTGGTAGCAAACTCAGCTCGCACACTGAAGGGTCTGGGATCAATGCCCGGGACGGGTGAAACGTTGGGCATGTTTCTTTACATCTGCCCACCTCTTTTTACCTAGCAGTAAATAGGTATACTTGGGTGCTAGTCGACTTTTGTGGGTGGTATCCTGGGGAACATGATTAAAGACCTCAATGAAAATAGTCAATCCCCGATAACGCATTGACTTTATTGGGTTATCCTGGTTGGCTAACCCCTCAGTTAAAAATCTCAACAACTCTTTATCTATGATAAAATTCTTACTATTTTCACAAAATGAAACTATAACCAGGGCATAACCTACCTACAGTCGAACATTTTTAAGGAATTAATTATCAATCAACTGACATCAGCCCCTAAGCTAAGCAGTTGCGTTAAACTCCCAGGATATATACACTGAGAGAAATACACCTTTTGGTGTATATGGTGGGAAATAAGTGGTTTATAAAACCGACAAGCTCAAGAATGTGACACGTGTGCAACATTTAAGAATCTTATTGAGGAAACGCTTCGCCAGCCAGTGGCTTCTTCAGTCCAATACAGAAAATAACGGAGAAAGATGAGGAATTTGAGGTAATCAGGCCCTCAGTCTGGAGTCGATGTGTTCAGCACTTTTCTCATGATTAATGGACCGAACACATCGACTCCAGGCTAAGTAAATTTATATAGGCACAGGTACATAAAAGCGCAAATATTATACATAGTGTAAATTACCTAGGATAACCCAAAGAAAAGCTAGCGATATATATATATATAATATATATATATATATATATATATATATATATATAATATATATATATTATATATATATATATATATATATATTATATATTATATATATATCTGGTACAAGGAGTTTATATTTGGCGGGTTTGAGGAGCCTGGCTGTGAGTGGCTGAGTGTGGCTCAGAAAAGTTGTTTTGGTGAACAATGGCGGACTTGTGGCCGAGCTGGGATCGATCCTCCTGTTGAAAACTGGCTTATTTTTCTTTATTGTTGTCTTAGGTGAGGCCATTAGTAGTGCACGTTGTTATAGAGAGGTGAGGAATGTTGCAAGTGCGAGTTATTCCCGGGAAAAATAGATGGTGCGAGAGGAATGAAGGGAAGTAGAGGACCAAGCCCGTTTTGTGGAGTGTCAGAACAAGGGGGAACCACCGCTAAAGCTATCAAAAGCTAGAATTTCTATTTAAAAATCGTTAACGGAGAATATCTTTCAGATACAATATAGCTGTACGTGTCGAGATTGTAGCTATTAACCGGGTTTTTCAAGCTGGGAGTTAGAAATTGTATAGTAATATATGTGAATAGATTTTTTTTTTCAAAATGGACCGCTTAGTGGCATCACGATTCCGAGTTTTTCATCTGTTGAAAAATGACACATACGGACCTGCTTGCCTTGAGATAGCTTATTTAACTGCACATTACGCAGTTAAGACCACTGTTTAGCTGGTTTTAAGTTGAGTTGAGGAAGATCTGGGAATATTTATGTGTGGAGGTGGGCAAGTATAGCTAGTTTTTATTGCTGTCATGGTGAAAGTTTATTTATTGTGCAGGAATACTTGCATTTCTAGGAAGCTGTGTCATCAGCTTGCCGTGTGCTGTTTTACTCATTACTTATTAGCTGGAATTATTTTGGGTATAGTTGGTGTGTCTTGATTATTGCTGGATTATAATTGTTGTTGTGATGCAGATAATTTCTGTGTAAAGCTAATTATTTATTTTTTGCTGTTGCCAGAAGGCCTGTTAATTTTTTGGCTGTAGTATATATCCAAGAATATATTTTGATATCAAATTAATTTTTATCTTGTAGATTTTTGTGATATAAATGTCTTCCAGTGAATAAGTCAGATTGATTCAGCTATCCTGATGCTGCTTTAGGAATTATTGTGCTAACAAAATTTTTTAGACAAGTGTCATGAACTTATAAGGAGTAGTAACCTGTGCATATTTGTCTCAATGATAGGGAAGGTATTAATGCTCATCTTTTCAAAAAGCAAAGTTTGATAGTAAGGTTCACAGAGTAAATTGTGTGATTACTATGCAATTACTGACTTTTCTTGGATTATCCTAGGTAATTTACACTATGTATGACAGTTACAATTATGTGCACCTGTACCTAAATAAACTTACTTGTATGGCAATGCACTTCAGAAAGTCTCCAGCACTAATTGTTTCTTATGCAGTTAATCTGTATCACATTCCTTTCACCCACTGTGGCACTCATGCATATAGTACATATTTAATTTTTGTGGGCATAATACATAATACAGTATACCTGTTTGTTATAAATCCTTGTGTACACAAACACACATTAATGTTAGCTTAACTCTCTCAGGATCGAGAGGCCCTCTCCTAAACTTGTTCTCAGGTTCTAAAATTTTTCGTGAAAAAAATCTTTTCATGTGAAAAGATAGAGAATCTTTTCCCAATCATAATGACACCAAAAGTATGAAATTTGATGAAAAACTTACGGAATTATGCTCTCGCAAAGTTAGCAGTCTCTGACAGTGTTTACGCATTGGCGATTTCGCCCACTTTGAGCCCTATTTTCGGCCAATTCCAGTGTAATTGTCGACAAAAATCATAACTATTTTGCTAGAACTCCATTTTTTTCTATCGAATGAATACAAGAAACCACCCATTTACCGATTTCAACTATCCAATAAAGTGGTCAGAAATTAGCAATTTTGCCAATTTCACACACATTTCAAAAGATGCCAGTTTCAAAATAGGGTCCAGAATAAACAAGACAGACATTCCTAGCACTAAAATAACGTTTCCTCTGTTCAATAGTCACGTCCCCAGGCCCCTCTCACATTTCTTTTGCTTTCCACTTTGAATTTTTAGTCTCACAAAAAATAGAAGATTTACTGTTATGCAGACTACTGCATTAGTGTAGAAATGGTATAAATAATATCAGAGCACTTGTGAAAGAATATTAGACTCGCCAGTTGACGTGTATTGGACGCGTGGCATGATTTGTTTACTTTTGAACTTTGGCAAAAATTGAACATTTCTGCTACTTTGAGCTCAATTTCAAGGTACTTTTCATTGTGAAACCAAATCATCTCAATTTCTGTAATATGTTCCATTCTATAAAATGAGACAGGAAAACTAGAATACAACCATAAATACCATACGGAAATACAGTGCAAAGTCGCTGTTTTAAACCAAAAACACGGTCAAATTTTTTTTTTCTCATTACGCACTGTGTGCTGCAGGATTTTTTTATACTGTGCACACTGACCACATAGACCCATTTTTTCATATATAGGCCTACCAGCTTCCTCTCGCTAAATTTGAAGGCGCTAGAGTTTACGCGTACTAGTATGTACGTCAATAACCCTGGTGCGTAACTGTACTAGTATGTTGGAAACCCTGAAAGGGTTAACCCTTAAACTGTCCAAACATAGATCTACGTTTTTTCAACATTTGAAAGTATGTAAAAAAAAAGTAGATTTTTTTTTTACATTTAAAAACGTGTAAAAAAACTTATGATCTACTTTTTTTTTTTGTTATATTTGAAAATGTGTAAAAAAAAATGTAGATCTAACTTTTGGAGCACTACGCATGTGAATGTAGATCTCTTGGACAGTTTAAGGGTTAATAAAGAGGAATCAGAGACATTGGGTTACATTGTCATGAGAAAGCATTATCGTTTTTCAAAAAATTAGCTTGCTCTTTGTTCCACAGGTGTTGTTTGTTACAAAGTTTACAGCAAAGAGTAGTGGTTTGTAAGCTGTATCTTTATAATTTCATGACAAGGTGAACCACTGAAAATACTGTCGATTCTTTTCAGATTTAAGATAAATTCATCATGCCTCGGCTAGGCCTTGGCTATGACATGGACCAGTTCCTGGACCACTGTCGCATGACGAAGCCTCCTTATGAGTGCCCCCATGCCTCGTGTGGCAGAATATATCGTAGCTTGGCAGGGATTCAGCATCACATGACAACATATGACCATGAAAATCCTCCCCCTAATGTTGTCACTCCCAAGTCAGGTGAGTTGCACATTTTGTTTGACAATGAAGTGTGTTGATTTTGTTTGAATGTTGAATTACTTGATAATTTTAATGTTTTTCATAAAAATTTATTAGTTCATTATCATTTTATGATAAGAGTTGAATTTGCCATGAAGGCATGTGTGAAATGGTTTGGAAGGACTTTTGCGTGTGTATTTCTTTCACGTCTGAAAATGCAGATGAAAATAACAAATTAATTTAGGCTGTTAAATGTTAACTATATATATTAAGTGAATTTGTTTTTATTGTTCAGCACGGAAGAAAAACATGAAGAGGCCACCATCGCCCCTTGCTAGCCAGGAGCCAGAACCCCCTTCAATACCTTACTCGCATGATATGAAAACAGTAGAGTTTGAGGTAGATGGAAAATTGTCACGGCTGTCTGTCTATGACCCTATTGAAATTCTGTCTAAGGTATGTTGTGGTAATGTGTTTTAAAGAGCTGAAACTACAAGCATGGGGGTAAGACAATACTGTACTTGTACGGATTTATATATGGATTACAGTTAGTCTTAAATTTGTGCATATCTTGTAATGAGTTAATTGGCAAAGAAATTTGTCTTTGGCTAACCACTGACAGTTTGATGTTTCTTTAAATTTAATTAACCCAGATACTTAAAATTAGTCATGCTTATGATTATGCAATAGTACTTGAATGAGATGTGGCATTATATTTAGGTTGCAATATTAGATTAGTTAAAGAAATATTTTCTAAATAATTTTTTAAATACCATAAAGACATATGCATATCTTGTTGAATTTTCAGGATCTTTTCAAAGACCTCTGAATATTATTAGAGCATTGATCAACAGGGCATATTTAATCTGAGGTGGAATAGAAATAGTCCTGGAAGAAAAATATTTAACTCTAAGCTTACTAAAAGAAAAAAAAAAAAAAAAATGTACAAAAACTGTTTAGCTCTCTCTCAATAGCTGTTGGTAGTTGTGTAGAGATATGATGGAATTTTAGTTAGCATTAAGTGGAAGCCTGGTGGCCTGCAGTAATGTAATGATAACCTTCCTTAGCTCTTTTTTTTTTTTTTTTTTTTTTTGAAATAGTGTACTGTATAATAAATTCTAGTGGCAAGAACATGGGGAAACTGAAAGTTATCATATTTTACAGGAGGATTATGAGGCTTCAATGCCCCCAATAGTGGAGGAGCCTCCCCCACAGGAGCAGGCTCGTACACCATCCATCAAGCCTCTGCCTAAAACTCCAACATCTAAGGGACCGTCCTCAAAAACAAATGTGCCCAGCACACCCCTGCCCAAGACACCTTTACAAAAGCCACCTAAGGTACAGATTGACCATCACTAATCCAGTACCATTGGGACCTGTAGAGTGCCAGATTAGTGATTTTGCTGGGATACAATGTGGTTAGGTTAGAATATAGTGGCAATATTTACACATTGGCGGGTTCATCCACTTTATGCCCTATTTTTGGCCCATTCCATTGTTCCAGTCTACCAGACTCATTGCTATTTTGCTAGTATTCCTTCTATTCTGTCAACTGAGTAGAAGAAACTGCCAATTTACCTATTTCAACTACCCAATAAAATGGTCAGAAATTGGTAATTGGCCAATTTCACGTTAATTTCAAGATATGCCAATTTCAAAATAGGGTCCAGAATAAACAGTGAAGACATTCCTGGCACTAAAATTAAATTTTCTCTGTTCATTAGTCATGTCTCCAGGCCCCTCTTTTATTATACGTACTTGCTTTCCATTTTGAATTTTTATTCACACAAAAAATAAAAGATTTACTGTTTTGTAGACTACTTCATTATTGTAATTATTGTATTAATAATGTCAAGACATTCATGACTGCGTATGAGACTGGCCACTTGGACACGTATTGGATGATGACATCACTTGTTTACTCTTGAACATCGGCGAAAATCGAACATTTTTGCTACTTTGAGCTCAGTTTCAAGGTACTTTCTATTGTGAAACCAACCAGAAATATAACTGTAATATATCTTCCATTCTATTAAATGAGACCAAAAAAACGAGAATACACCCATAAAAACCATATGAAAATACACCACAAAATCGGTTTTACACCATAAACACTGTTGCAGTTTTTTCTCATTATGCACTGCATGCTGCAGGATTTTTTTTATATAGTGCACACAGACCTATTCTCATGTAGGCCCAAATTTACCAGTCACAGCTTATCTGAGTGAGCTGAGCTCATGGCGACTGACAGTGATTTCAAAGTCACCTTATCTTTTATGGACAATGTACGGTGTATGTGCTTTATACAATGAGAAGCATTTATTTTATTCGTTGGAACCATGGCTAAGGATAAAAGTGAGCAGGTTATAACAATAAATGGAAAAAAAAGAAATTGAAATGACTCGTGCAGCAAGTAGTACCACTTGACAGTGCAAGTGCAAGTGTATGCTGGATTTCCGACATTACCCTAACTCCGATAGACTTTGAGAAAGCCATTGACAGCATGCACTCACCCTCCAGGTAGACCAGGTAGACCAGTAACGGCAGTTTAGTGTGGCAACCCAGGAAATTTGAAATTGTTAATCAAAATTACTGCCGGATTACTGATTACTGGATTAGTGATAGTTGACCTGTATTACTAAAGTGTTTTAAATTGCTGTTTTTATAGGTTGCCTGTGCTTTGAATAGCATGCAATATTGTTGGTCATAATCTTTTGCAAACAATCTTATGCCAAATATATAAACTAAAGGAAAATTCACTACTTGTAATTTAAATGTTATTAGAATTTTTACTTGCATATTGTAATTTAGTATTCATGTATACATTATAAAGTTTTCAAATAATTATACAGTTTTCCAGTAAGAATTTATTGCCTATTTTCATAAAATTTTCAGTGCATGCTTGTATCTAACTAAAATTGTATGTTATAAAATATCAACAAGTGGACAAACAAAATAGCAAAAGCAGTAGACTCAGCCTGGCCAAATGGACTTCTGCATCCAGAAGAAAATGGAATCTAACTATAAAATTGTGAATTTCACCTTTTATAAGTTGTGGATAAAATATTTTGGATTGGCACAATACATATTTGGGAAGTGGGGAGAGTTTCGTAAATTTAAAAATTATAGTCTACACTGTTACAGGCTCGAACAAATGATAAGGATCGTGGAGTAGATGTACAGCGCTATACTATTGAAGAGAAGAAGTCTAACAAGCTACCAGAAGCATCATTTAGGGTAATTGAAGATTACTACAAAAATCTCCCAGATGCTCCACCACAGCCCTCCAACTATTATAGGTCAGCTGCATTGCCAGTTTAATAAAGTTACTTCTGCTCTTTTTGGGAGACACTAATGTAGTTTTTTTTTTTTAATTTGTAATACCAGTGTACCTCGAATATGGATATTAGTACTGTCATAATGAATTTTGTTAATGTGTTTTACCTTCCTGAATGCATTTAGCACACACGCATGCACGCGCACATGGTGCACAGCACATTCTCTCTCTCTCTTCACTCTTCATCTCCTCTCTTCTTCTAGCTCCGTCTTTCTTCTCTCCGTCGGGTTCTTCCCTCTTCTTCCGTCTTCTTCTCTCTCTTCTCCTTCTTTCGTCTTCTTCTCTCTTCTCTCTCTTCTTCTCTCTTCTTTCTCTCTTCCTTCTCTCCTTCCTTCTCCTTCTCTCTCTTCGTGCTCTCTTCTTCACTCATTCTTCCTTCTCTCTTCTTCTCTCTCTTCTCTCTCTTTCTCTCTCTTCTCTCCTTCTCGTCTCTTCTCTCTCTCTCCTCCCTCTTCTCGTCTCTTCTCTCTCTTCTCATCTCTCGTCTTCTCTCTCGGGTTCTCTTCTCTCTCGTCTCTTCTCTCCCTCCTCTCGCTCTATCCTCATCTTCTCCTCTCTCTCTTCAGACCTCTCTCTCTTCTCTCCTCTCTCTCTTCTCTCTTCTCACTCTTCTCTCTCTCTCTTCTCTCTCATCTCTCTTCTTCTCTCTCGACTCTTCTCGGTTCTCTCTCTCTCACTTCTCTCTCTCTCTTCCGCTCCTCACTCTACTCTCTCTCTCTTCTCTCTCTCTCTCTCTCTCTCTCTCTCTCTCTTCTCTCTCACCAAGCATCTTCTTCTCTCTCGCTCTTCTCCTCTCCTTCTCGCACTCTCTTCTCCTCTCTCTTCCTCCTCTCTCTTCTCCTCTCTCTTCTCCTCTCTCTCTGACCTCTCCTCCCCCTCTCCTCCTCTCTCTCCTCCTCTCTCTCCTCCTCTCTCTCCCGGACCTCTCTCATCGCTCCTCTCTCCTCCCTCTCTCTCCCTCCTCTCCACTCCTCTCTCTCCTCCTCTCTCTCCTCCTCTCTCTCACTCCTCTCTCCTCTCCCTCTCCCCTCTCCTCTCCTCTCCTCTCCTCTCCTCTGGCTCTCTTCTCTTCCTCTCTCGTCTTCTTCTCTCTCTCTTCTCTCTCTCTTCTCACCCGGGGGGCTCGTCGGTCTTCTCTCTCTCGATCTCTCTCTCTCTCTTTCCCCTCTCCTCTCCTCCTCCTCTTTTTTTTTTTTTTTTTTTTTTTTTTTTATGTTTGTACTCAGTTTGACAAGTTAAAGGATTCCCTAGCTTTATTGACAGCTATCTTACAGGTTAAAAGGATTCCGTAACTTTATTGGCAAAGCTAGAGCTGGTTTACCCTACATCATCCTTTTTTCATTTTGAAAGCATTTTATTTTTTTTAGTTTTTTTTTTATTTAATGGGTGAGACGGATACAAGTAGGAGGAACAGGATGAAGTTGGGGAGCGCATCTGGGTCCAGCATTTTCATTTGATCAACTACTTTATCTCGTTGACATCATTATGGCTAGTGAGCAAAAGGTGTTCATACTCGATCATGCGGTGGCTGTTATGTATATCTCTGATGGAGTGATGTACTAGGAGAAGGTACGGCGCAGCGTTGAAGAGCTGCTTTCGCGCTGTGCCCGTCTAGTGGCATAAAAGCTTATGTTTCGGGAACGCTGTCCTCGAAGTGGATGCCAAGTGTGGTATTTTGACAATATTGGGGCCTTGACATAACAGTAAGGCCACCCACATCCCTCCTATGTTAAGGCTCTGTCTGAAATGACAGATCTATCCATGGATGGGTCCAGGCGAAGATGAGACGTCTTGCTCTGTTCTCTACTCTGTCAAGTCAAGGGTCCGCAGATGAGAGGGGGGCAAGGTAAACCCAAGAAAGTGGCAGAGGCATAGGGCCTCAAGAGTGTGAGCGTACTGTTGCACGTACAGGATCTTGCAACCCCTACTGTCAAGCAGATGACGAGCTACTGGGCGAAGGTGCTTAAAGCTTCCGGCTGCCTTGTTTGCAAGATTACAACATGGTTCTTCAGGTTAGTTTGGAGTCCAATTTTCACCCAAGATACCAACTTCCTTCTCCAGGTGTGCCAACATCCGTCCCATTCAACCATACTACTGCACCAGCATTACCATCATGGGCTTCTTCTCTCCTCCTCTCTCACCTCTTCTCTCATCTCTCTCTCTCTCCCCATCGCTCTCTCCTCTCGCATCCTCTCTCCTCTCTCTCTCCTCTCTCTCTCCTCTCTCTCTCCGTGCTCGTTCCCTCTCCTCTCTCTCTCCTCTCTCACCTCCTCTCTCTCTCCTCTCTCTCTCCTCTCTCTCTCGGCTCTCTCTCATCCTCTCTCTACTCCTCTCTCTCTCCTCTCTCACTCCCTCTCTCTCTCCCTCTCTCTCATCCTCGTCTATCCTCTCTCCTCTCTCCTCTCTCCTCTCTTCCTCTCCTCTCCTCTCCTCTCTCTCTCCTCTCTCTGGGTCCTCCGTCCCTCTCCTCTCTCATCTCCTCTCCTCTCTCTCACTCTCACTCATCCTCTCTCCTCTCTCTGTCTCGGAGTCCCATCTCTCTCTCCCCTAGCTCTCTCACTCCACCTCTCTCTCTCTCCTCTCTCTCCTCTCTCTCTCCGAGCCTCTCTCGCTCCTCGTCCTGCTCTCCTCTCTCTCTCCATCTCTCTCTCTCTCTCTCCATCCTCTCTCTCGATCCTCTCCCTCTCTCTCTCTCTTCCTCTCTCCTCTCTCCTCTCTCTCATCTCTTTCCTCTCTCTCTCTCCATCTCTCTCTCCTCTTTCTCTTCCTCTCCTCTCTCTCCTCTCTTCTCTCTCTCCTCTCCATCCTCTCTCCCCCTCGAGCACTCTGCCTCTCTCTCTCTCCTCTTCTCTCTCTCCTCTCCTCTCTCTCTCCTCCTCTCTCTCCCCCTTTCTCTCTCTTCTCCTCCTCTCTCTCCTCTCTCTCTCCTCTCCTCCTCCTTCTCCTCTCTCTCTCCCTCTCTCTCCCTCCCTCCCCCCCTTCGCTCTCTCTCTCTCCTCTCTCTCTCTCCTCTCTCTCTCCTCCTCTCCTCTCTCTATCCTCTCCTCTCGGATCCTCTCCCTCTCTCTCCTCTCTCTCTCTGCTCCTCTCTCTCTCTCTCCGTCTCTCTCTGCTCGTCCTCTCTCTCTCCTTCTCACTCCTCCTCCCTCCTCCTCTCCTCTCTCTCTCTCCTCTCTCGCTTCTCTCCTCTCTCCTCCTCTCTCCTCTCTCCTCTCTCTCTCTCTCCTTCTCTCTCTCCTCTCTCTCTCCTCTCTTCCCTCTCCTCCAACTCCTCTCTCTCGCGCTCTCTCTCTCGCTGCTCTCCTCAGCCTCTTCCTCTCTGTCTCTCCTTCTCTCTTCGTCCTCTCTCCTCTCGCCTCTCATTCTCCTCTCTCCTCTCTCTCTCTCCTCTCTCTCTTCTCTCCTCTACTCTCCAGCTCGCTCTCTCTCATCCAACGCTCGCTTCCTCGTTCTCCTCCTCTCTCTCTCCTCTCTCTCTCCTCTCTCTCTCCCTCGCTCCTCTCTCCTCTCTCCTCTCACTCTCCTCTCTCTCTCTCCTCTCTCTCCTCCCTCTCTCTCTCTCTCTCTCTCTCCTCTCTCTCCTCTCTCTCTCTCTCTCTCTCTCGTCTCGGGTCCCTCGTCACTGCTCCTCTCTCTCTCTACTCCTCCTCTCTCTCATCTCTCCTCTCTCTCTCTCTCTCCTCTCTCTCTCTCCTCTCTCTCCTCTCTCATCCTCTCCTCTCCTCGTTCTCTCTCTCCTCTCTCTCTCTCCTCTCCTCTCTCCTCCTCTCCTCTCTCTGCCTCTCTCTCCTCTCTCTCTCTCCACTCATCTCCTCCTCTCTCTCTCCTCTCTCTCCTAACTCGTCTCTCTCTCTCTCCACTCTCTCCTCTATCTCTCTCCTCTTCTCCTCTCCTCTCTCCTCTCTCTCTCTTTCTCTCCACTCTCTCTCTCCTTCTCCTCTCTCTCACTCTCCTCTCTCTCCCTCTCTCTCCTCTCTCTCCTCTCTCTCTCTCTCTCTCCTCTCTCTCTCTCTCCTCTCTCTCTCTCTCCCTCTCTCTCTCGTCCTCTCTTCCTCTCTCCTCTCTCTCTCCTCCTCTCCTCTCTCCTATCCTCCTCTCTCTCTCCTCACTCCTCTCTTCTCTCCTCTCATCCTCTCGGTCTCTCTCTCCTCTCTCTCTCCTCTCTCCTCCTACTCACTCTCCTCTCTCCTCTCTTCCTCTCTCCTCTCTCTCTCCTTCTCTCTCTCCATCTCTCTCTCTCCTCCGTCTCTCCTGCTCTCTCTCCCTCTCTCCCTCTCTCCTCCCTCTCTCCCTCTTCCTCTCCCTCGCCTCTCTCCTCTCTCTCTCTCCTCTCTCCCTCTCCTCTCTCTACTCATCTCTCTCGCCTCCACTCTCATCTCCTCCTCTCTCTCTCCTCTCTCTCTCCTCTCTCTCCTCTCTCCCTCTCCGTCCTCTCTCTCTCCTCTCTCCTTCTCTTCTCGCCCTCTCTCCATCTTCTCTCCTCCTCTTCTCTCTCTCACTCTCTCTTCCGTCTCTCTCTCTCTCTCTCTCTCCACTCTCTCTCTCACCTCCTCTCCTCCTCTCTCTCCTTCTCTCTCTCTCCTCTCTCTTCTCGCCTCTCTCGCCTCTCTCTCCTCTCGTCTCCTCCTCTCTCTCCTCTCTCTCTCCGCTCCTCTCTCTCCCTCATCCTCACTCACTCCTCTCTCTCTCTCCTCTCTCTCTCTCCCCGAATCTCTCTCTCTCCTCTCTCTCCTCTCTCTCTCTCCTCTCTCTCTGGCTCTCTCCTCTCTCTCTCTCCTCTCTCTCCTATCTCTCTCTCCCTTCTCTCGCTCTCTCCTCTCTCTCACTTCTCACTCTCTATCCTCTCTCTCTCTCCTCTCTCTCCTCTCCTCCTCTCTTCTCTCGTCTCTCGTCTCCTCTCCTCTTCTCTCCTCCTCTCCTACCTCTCTCTCTCTCTCCTCCTCTCTCTCCTCTCTCTCACTC